GGGGGCTGTGGCTGTGGGGGTGGGGGCTGGGGCGGCACCTGATGTGCAGGCTGCGGCTGTGATGGGGGTGGGGGAGGGGGTGGTGGTGGCGGCTGTTGCAAGGCATCTAACATGACTCCTGACTTTCTGCCATTGATGCTCGAGCTCTCATAGGCCACTACGCCTTCACTCAGTGAGGAAGAAATGCCTTCGCTCTGGGAATTCACAGCATCCCAATCTGACATTGTACCCGTGTGACACTGTTTGTGAGCCCCAAGTTTTAATGAGCTCTTGCAAGTAAATGGACATTCGTCACATTTGTAGACAGCTGTCTTTCCAGATAAGTGGATGTTCTCTATGTGACGGGAGATGCTACGCCGATGCATGGTGAGGAAAGGACAAAAGGGGCACTGGAACCTATTCATGAATCTCCTAAATGGAATTCCCTTGGTCTCCAATAATTTGTTGCCATCTGAGCCCATCAGCTGTTCAGCAGACATGCCTGATACCTGGTGATCCATAGCATTTAAACCATTCTCACTGTCTATTTCATTTAACTCTTCATCAGAACTAGAGTCATTCAGCATGCTGTTAGTTTCCAGGTCAGCAGAAGAATTGGTCATGTCAGCTATTCCGTAACGGGATCTCTCTGCCAAGTTCACTAGGCTGGAATTGTGAGGTGACTTCGGCTTCATCTGGGGGTAAGACATGGGCGAAAACTTGGAAGTGGAAGAAGCATTGGGTCTCATGATGGAGTTACTGATGGAGCCCCGGTAGTTGGAGACGTTGGTACTGGGGATCTCCCGGCTTGCAGTATTCATGGACAGATAGGTGGAATTGGAAGTGGGGCTGGGAGCACTTTTGTTCTGCACATCAGGCAGATTAGTCCCTTCTTGTTGCTGTCTGAGACTAGAGAGGATCTTGACCATGCTGCGGTGTTTCTTCATCATGTGATCACACCAGCGTTCGCGGCGAGGGGTCTGGTAGCTGCACCACTCACAGCAGAAGTTACCTCGAGATTTGGTCAAAGGCTTGACCATGGATTCTAAGATGCTGCGCTCCACGACCTCTGCAGGCAATTCCTTGCAGGGATCCTGCAGGGACACGGGTGGGACCATGGGGTCTGGCATCGGAGCAGGGGTGGGGAGGGAAGCAGTGGTCTCCTTCAAATTGCTTTTGTGATACATCTTCTGATGCTTGATTATTCTTGCCCTCCTTGGTGACTTGTATGTGCAAAACTGGCAAGAGAAGACCTTTCCAAATCCCTCATGCATCATGATATTGTAATTTAAGGATCCTGGAACAGGGAGTCCCGCCGAACTCCCTTCAGCTTGAGCTCCGTGGACCTTCCTGGTGTGTTCAATGAGGAGGTTTTTTGACCTGAAGTAGCGTACACAGAACTTGCACTGAAAAAACTTGTTTGTTGGTCTGGGATTCGGGACAATATGCTGACTGTAATATCCTGGACTGTGGCCATAGTAACTTCCAGTCCCCAGTGCAGTTGCATTTTGACCTAAAGAGAGAGCATAAGGTAAGTGGGAAAAGCAAAGCTGAGCAAAGCATAAGAGAATTAAGGAAATCAGTCATGCACATCAATTTTTTCTTTTCAAGTATTCTTCATTAGTCAACATCACATTCAAAAGGCCTACCATCTCAAGGTGAGGCCCTGGAGAGAATTAACGGAGCATCAATGAACATACACACATGGCTTCTCATGGTCAAAGACGTGGTGCTCAGCTTTAGGTACAATCCTCCTATCTTCTCCATTAATGTGCCATATCGCTATAAAAATACAAGTTTCACAGACTGCATTATTCATTCTAGAACTTTCTAAGATAGTACCTTGTTCTCCAAATTGAAAGGAATCTTAAGAGACCCAGGAAGCTGAAAGGACAATAACCTAGAATACTCAGGAAGAGGAACATGACATCCAAACCACAATCCAGTTTCTAGTTTCAAGTAGCACCTTGGTACCTCACTTTACATTAAGCACAACAGAAACTTGCAGCTTTGAAGAGGGGCTTGAAAGCCATGACTGCTGCTTCCCCACTTCTCTCCCTCACAAACATGGAGTGGAGAAACGCAAATAGGAGGAGCAAGAATCTCTTAGAAGTCACATCTACCAAGGACCATGGTCACAGGCTAAAAATAGCCAGGAGCAATGAAATAGATCAGATTGGCCAAGCTGAGGACAGATTTACCTGATAAATCTTCTGCAATCGCAAATTCATCCTTTATAGAAGAAAACTCCACCTCTGTCTGATTACTGGCATTCATGGACCCGGATCGTGGCTCATCAGCATTGTCTTCAGCGACATCAGTTGGCTGCAGAAACGCTGTGTGGACATCCTGAATGTGTGCCTTGAGATCTTCATAAGATGGGGCTCTGAAGTCACAGCCATCACACTGAAGCACCTCCATGATCTGGGTCTACTCTCTCACATTAGGAACCTGGGGGAGAAGTCAGAACAAAACATGTTGAAGGATGTACTAACTGCACAGCCCAAGCGGACAGGGCTACAAGTGCAGTAATGGAAAAAATTCCATTACGGGCAGATTTCTCCTACTGAACTTTGCCAGTTGGAACAGTGGCCAAAGAAAGGCAATCAGGCATAATAGGGATGCTGTCCTTGACTTCATAACTTCAAAGAAGGGGGGAAAAAAACCAGATAAACTTTTTCTAGCCTGATATGACTATATCTTCAAAAGACATTTGTCAAGGAAACCCTTAATACTTCAAAAGTTTTAGTAGTTTCTGAATTTCTTGAGTGAATTCAAATTTCTTAGGAAGTTAATATTGATTTTGATTCTTTCTGGGACCCTTTTTTTTTTTTGGACTAGAACTTTCTCAGTAGTAAAGAGGATGTCCACACAGGACAGGACAAATTCCAATCTTCATTAGCTGTTGTAATATAGTGACATTGATGTTTATCACCAACTGGTGAAACAGTATTGAATCTTGGAGTGGTGGCAGAAAGAGCATTTTTGTACCTTTTATTATAATATCTTAACTAATATTGCACACACCTCTTTCCTCCAGTTCCCAAACAGTTTAGTATTTTTTTTTCCATGAACAAAATGGTCATTTGCTTTTTACCACCTACCAATTGTAACCTAACAGATTCTCCAATCTCATTAGGTCATAAAATATTTCTCATGTGATTTTTAAACAACCAACTTTAGATGACAGTCCAGTTTCTAGTTTCAAGTAGCACCTTGGTACCTCAATTTACATTAAGCACAACAGAAACTTGCAGCTTTGGAGAGGGGCTTGAAAGCCATGACTTGCTGCTTCCCCACTTCTCTCCCTCACAAACATGGAGTGGAGTCTTTACTTAAACACAAATAGCTTTGAATAAAGCAAAACTTACCCAGCTACCTTCACTCTGCCGTTTACCGCATGATTGAAAGATACAGAGAGCTTCCCACTAACTCAATGGAGAGGCCCACCATTAAGAACTTTAAAATGTATTAGAAGATGTAGTCCTTCCTATCTTAATATATATCCTGAGTTGAGATACCCAGTTATTATCTTAATGAGTGAGTGACTTCACTGAGCTCACTGCAAACTCTACTGAGTTGCTGGAATCTAGAACCAGATGTCCAAGAACTAAAGCTGTAGCCAAATCTTTCTATACTTATATTGTGTGGCAACTTCCGATGCTTTTATTGTAAAAGATAAATTATTTCTGCAGGAGGAACAAGGTCTAGTAAAATGTCAATGCAGTGAAAGGAGCCATTGCAGGAGGATTTTCCATGAAAGAATGTTCCTGCTGATAGACTGCTAAAATAACTTCTGGCAAGTCCAGCTCTGGACGGACTGAGCTTGCAGAGTGAGACACATATTTAATTTTGTTGGTCTGGGATTCGGGACAATATGCTGACTGTAATATCCTGGACTGTGGCCATAGTAACTTCCAGTCCCCAGTGCAGTTGCATTTTGACCTAAAGAGAGAGCATAAGGTAAGTGGGAAAAGCAAAGCTGAGCAAAGCATAAGAGAATTAAGGAAATCAGTCATGCACATCAATTTTTTCTTTTCAAGTATTCTTCATTAGTCAACATCACATTCAAAAGGCCTACCATCTCAAGGTGAGGCCCTGGAGAGAATTAACGGAGCATCAATGAACATACACACATGGCTTCTCATGGTCAAAGACGTGGTGCTCAGCTTTAGGTACAATCCTCCTATCTTCTCCATTAATGTGCCATATCGCTATAAAAATACAAGTTTCACAGACTGCATTATTCATTCTAGAACTTTCTAAGATAGTACCTTGTTCTCCAAATTGAAAGGAATCTTAAGAGACCCAGGAAGCTGAAAGGACAATAACCTAGAATACTCAGGAAGAGGAACATGACATCCAAACCACAATCCAGTTTCTAAGTTTCAAGTAGCACCTTGGTACCTCACTTTACATTAAGCACAACAGAAACTTGCAGCTTTGAAGAGGGGCTTGAAAGCCATGACTGCTGCTTCCCCACTTCTCTCCCTCACAAACATGGAGTGGAGAAACGCAAATAGGAGGAACAAGAATCTCATAGAAGCCACATCTACCAAGGACCATGGTCACAGGCTAAAAATAGCCAGGAGCAATGAAATAGATCAGATTGGCCAAGCTGAGGACAGATTTACCTGATAAATCTTCTGCAATCGCAAATTCATCCTTTATAGAAGAAAACTCCACCTCTGTCTGATTACTGGCATTCATGGACCCGGATCGTGGCTCATCAGCATTGTCTTCAGCGACATCAGTTGGCTGCAGAAACGCTGTGTGGACATCCTGAATGTGTGCCTTGAGATCTTCATAAGATGGGGCTCTGAAGTCACAGCCATCACACTGAAGCACCTCCATGATCTGGGTCTACTCTCTCACATTAGGAACCTGGGGGAGAAGTCAGAACAAAACATGTTGAAGGATGTACTAACTGCACAGCCCAAGCGGACAGGGCTACAAGTGCAGTAATGGAAAAAATTCCATTACGGGCAGATTTCTCCTACTGAACTTTGCCAGTTGGAACAGTGGCCAAAGAAAGGCAATCAGGCATAATAGGGATGCTGTCCTTGACTTCATAACTTCAAAGAAGGGGGGAAAAAAACCAGATAAACTTTTTCTAGCCTGATATGACTATATCTTCAAAAGACATTTGTCAAGGAAACCCTTAATACTTCAAAAGTTTTAGTAGTTTCTGAATTTCTTGAGTGAATTCAAATTTCTTAGGAAGTTAATATTGATTTTGATTCTTTCTGGGACCCTTTTTTTTTTTTGGACTAGAACTTTCTCAGTAGTAAAGAGGATGTCCACACAGGACAGGACAAATTCCAATCTTCATTAGCTGTTGTAATATAGTGACATTGATGTTTATCACCAACTGGTGAAACAGTATTGAATCTTGGAGTGGTGGCAGAAAGAGCATTTTTGTACCTTTTATTATAATATCTTAACTAATATTGCACACACCTCTTTCCTCCAGTTCCCAAACAGTTTAGTATTTTTTTTTCCATGAACAAAATGGTCATTTGCTTTTTACCACCTACCAATTGTAACCTAACAGATTCTCCAATCTCATTAGGTCATAAAATATTTCTCATGTGATTTTTAAACAACCAACTTTAGATGACAGTCCAGTTTCTAGTTTCAAGTAGCACCTTGGTACCTCAATTTACATTAAGCACAACAGAAACTTGCAGCTTTGGAGAGGGGCTTGAAAGCCATGACTTGCTGCTTCCCCACTTCTCTCCCTCACAAACATGGAGTGGAGTCTTTACTTAAACACAAATAGCTTTGAATAAAGCAAAACTTACCCAGCTACCTTCACTCTGCCGTTTACCGCATGATTGAAAGATACAGACAGCTTCCCACTAACTCAATGGAGAGGCCCACCATTAAGAACTTTAAAATGTATTAGAAGATGTAGTCCTTCCTATCTTAATATATATCCTGAGTTGAGATACCCAGTTATTATCTTAATGAGTGAGTGACTTCACTGAGCTCACTGCAAACTCTACTGAGTTGCTGGAATCTAGAACCAGATGTCCAAGAACTAAAGCTGTAGCCAAATCTTTCTATACTTATATTGTGTGGCAACTTCCGATGCTTTTATTGTAAAAGATAAATTATTTCTGCAGGAGGAACAAGGTCTAGTAAAATGTCAATGCAGTGAAAGGAGCCATTGCAGGAGGATTTTCCATGAAAGAATGTTCCTGCTGATAGACTGCTAAAATAACTTCTGGCAAGTCCAGCTCTGGACGGACTGAGCTTGCAGAGTGAGACACATATTTAACTCCTCTTCTTTCACCCAGCAATTTATCCTTTTTCAATAAACATTGAACTGTGCACCAGAGTCTTTTCAGCTAACTAAGTCTCAATATTCCAGATACACAAGCTTTTATGTCTAAGCACCAACCCAAATTGTGTGGAAGAGGTTGCTATCAGCTCTGGATCAAATTACAGCAGTCACCGAGGCCCCACCCCACTTCTCCTTTCGCGCAGTCCATTAGACCTGAAAACAAATTTTTCCATGGTGCAGACGACTCCTGCATTTAGAACACTTCACAGAAAAAAGCAGATCATCCACTGTGCACTCCCATCCCCCCAGCTTAGTCCTTTCATCTCAGCCAAACAAGCCCCAGCTCTGCTGAATGTGTTTATCACACTTTCAAGAGATATGAGCTCCTGCGTCACTGAAGCTCTAAGACTCACTAAGCTGCCCTAGTCCTCTGAGCTTTAGGAGCAGCCATTTTAGCTCAGAGCTTCTCCTCCGTGCACAACATGGCTTCTCTGGGATTCTGCTAGGCTGACAATCAGAAATGCAGAGTAGAAGGGCAGGCTGGGCGCCTCCTATGCTCTTCTGCTCCCAACAAAGAAGGAACTGTTTTCATTGCTTTCCGAAAAGCAGCACCTTTCTCCTCCTCAAATGTCATTCACCAAGATCTCTGAAGGTTCTTTTATCCCATGATTGATAAGCGTGTGCGTGTTAGTCCCACCAGAGAGCACTGGGTATCGCAGTCCGGTCCTGGACCAGACCCTGTTCTACAGCAGGACTTGGGGGTGGGGGGGTGGGGGGACCTCCAGAACGCCTTGGCTTCTTAGGAGTCGTCCTTCCACACACAGAAGACATACCATCCGACTCTGCTTGCCAGATTCCAAAGTCTAATGACCTTTGTTAATCACCAGCCAGTCTGTCTGCCTCAGCAGAGCCTGCCAACAGACACACCCTTCAACACAAAGGCTGTAGCTATGCCTTTTAGAAGAGGTTCTCTCAAAGCTCCATTGTGTGGCCGAGAGGAAAACAAAATCTCTTCCCTTCAAAACTTCAAGCCTTTAGAAATAACGCAACAAAAGGCTTTCTGCTTGTGTGTCTTTTGGAAATTTTGAGGCTGGTTTGCACAACATCAATAAAAATTACCGTTGTGCACAGGGAAAGCAGGGCACCTTCAGCATTAAGTCATCCACCC